AAAACCCAATTTCTTGTCATGCATTTTCTTAGTAAGAAAACTCTAAAAACCCAATTTCTTGTCATGTATTTTCTTAGTGAGAAAACTCTAAAAACCCCATTTCTTGTCATGTATTTTCTTAGCAAGAAAAATCTAAAACTTCAGTTTCTTGTCCTGCATTTTCTTAGTGAGAGAACTCTAAAACCACCATTTCTTGTCACACATTTTCTTAACAAGAAAACTCTAAAACCCCCATTTCTTGTCACACATTTTCTTAGTAAGAAAACTTTAAAAACCCCATTTCTTGTGCATTTTCTTAGCATGCACATCGATACCTATTGCAACACGGAGGCTACAACCTCACTGATAAGGCAGCACATACCTGCAGCCAGCCTGATCCAAGAGAACGACGAGCAGCTTGTGTACACCCTGCCACTCAAGGACATGGACAAGTTTGCAGGTACTGATGTTTTTTTGTTGAGCTACAGGGTTTTGAATGGCCCCACAATTGAAACCCACCAAGCATGGCTTTAGCCTGTAATTATTGTTAAATTGTCACTTCTGCCTTTATGTGGTTTCATATATATTCATTGTTTGGCTGAGGTTTGGCTGATGACCAGTTGGCAAAGTCTTTCTCAGGTGGGTGAGGACCTCATCAACTCCTCCATAGGGGCTGTGGTGTGGTAAGAGGGATGTGGGAGATGCCTTTAGCAGAAGGCATCTTTTAGGCCAGATTGGATGAGGCTTTGAGCAACCTGGTCTAGCGGAAGGTGTCCCTGCTCATGGCAGGGGGGGTGGAACTGGATGAGCTTTAAGGTCCCTTCCAACCCAAACCATTCTATGATTCTAAGGGTGAAGGGACCCTTTTGTCTGAGAATCCCCTTGTCCTGCCAAAGCATCATCTTAACCCAGAGCATTGTAATGAGCAGGGATCACCTCCAGTGGGAAGCCAGAAATCTCCAAATCCTACAAAAATCAATGCACCCTCATTGTGAGCTGCAAAGAGCCTTGTGTCATCTCCTTAAAATCCACTGGTGAGAGGGAGTGTGGACACAGATGTGTTGGTTTCACTAGATGGCAGCAATTATCTGATCAGCCTTTTGCAGGGCTCGGTGTTCATCTCCCAAGGGAAACTGGAAGCAGCAGTGTGTCCTGTTATGTGGAAAGCTGAGGGACAATCAATGCTGACGTGAATGCAGCTCCTAGTTCATAAATGCTTTTTTTCCCCTGTTGCATTTAACCAGTTAATAATTTATGAGCTTTACCTTTAGCAGCCACTGCGTGTACTTTTAGAAAAACAGGCATCTCCATGCAAGGTTGATTCCAATCCCCCAAACTATTTGAAGGAGAAGCTGAGGTTAGGAACATGCCTCAGCTGCTGGGGCAGAAGAAATCATGGAGTTCCAATGAGCATTGTTGGGTATCCAACTGCCCTTCCCATTTTGCACGTTTGTGTTTCCCTTGAGCGTGACCTTGGCTCTGCAGCTCCTCATTTTGTCAAGTCCTTAGAGGACTGGCAAGAGCCCAATAGCATTTTTTTTAATCCCAAGGTGCTCATAAGTGCTCTCACTCTGAACATCATTTTGGTTTTCATGCTATGCATGCTGTCCAGGATCTCCTGCCCAGTTAGGCTGGCTTTATAGATCTGGATATTTATTTATATATATATATATATATGGATATATATACAAAATTACTCAGTGGTTTTATTTGTAAAATCTCTTTGTTCCTGGGCAGAGATCAAGGTAGGATGAGCTGTCCTGCAGTCTCTGTGTTTGATGTTTCCAGGAGAGTGGCTCTCACAGCCAGTGAGGAGACAACTGAGCCCAGGAGCTTTAGGATGCTGATATGGTCTGTAGAAACACTACAACTTTGGGAAAACCCACCACATTTCCCATACTTGACCACAGAGGCTGAAGTTTTGTACTGAAAGGAGCTTATCACAACCTTGGTTCTCAATCCATGAGCAGTGTCTTTGCAATTAAGCAACCATATTTGCACGTTACCTACTTGCTAGTGTAGAGATGCCTCTAATGGGCTTGAAGATCTCTCGGGACGATGATGTAATCCTGTTTCAGAGCAACCAGTCTGTTTCCCTTCTGTCTCTAGGTTTGTTTTCAGACCTCGACACTCATTCCCACTTGGGTGTTATCACCTATGGTGTTTCCATGACAACGCTGGAGGATGTCTATCTGAAACTGGAAGTTGAGGCAGAGATTGATCAAGCAGGTGGGATGAACTGTGGCTGTTTTTCTGTTTTCCCTCATTTGATTTAGTCTTAATTAGTACAGAATTGTCCATGCCACGTCACTGCCAGAAGGAGTTTTGCTCTAGAGGCAAGAATTGAAAAAATCCTCTTGCAGAGCACTACATCCAGCAGCGTGGGGCTCCTTCTGTCTCACAACATTCCAGGCTTTTCAAATATTTAACATGAAAAACACACAAAAACAACGAGTTGGGTGGGGAGTGAGTCTGGGAGAATCGAGGGGAAAAGCTTTTTACTGGCTGTCTCTGTGGTAATTAATTTTTCATCCAGTGTACTTACATCTAATGTTGTTTCCCAGTTGCACTTTTTCTGGGCAGCTTTTTAAAATGTGGTTTATTTTCCTAATGGAGTTTGCTTTCAGGAAATTGTAAATGCACAGGATAAAATTTATTTCCAGCCTTCTGCATGAACAGGGTTATTAGTAGCCTGCACTTAAAGCTGAAATAACTGAACTTGTCTTTCTTCCCCTCCTTTAAATTAATGTCCAATTCAAATGAAGAGTTGGGACTGCTTAATGTTCCTCCAGAATTAATCAGTTCTTCTTTTGATGTCAACTTTGCATGGTTTAAACTATCTTAATCTAGAGCTTTCTTTATGATACAGACTATTAAATATCCTGCTCTGCAAAGGTTCTGTGTGAGTCTAAGAGGGTTTAACAGCTGCGTGTGCTGGTACTGGGTAATACAGGTGCATACAGAGGCTAATGGAGTGAAACTGGGGCCAGTCTGCACCTTTTGAGTGGCAGAAATTTGCATAATCTGGCTTAAGCATCTGCTCTTGTGGGTGATTCAAAGCTTTGGGATAAATTGGTGTCATTGAGCTTGGGGTTAAGTTGAGAGATGGGGATGAGATGAGATGGTTTCTGCAATAGCAAGGAGTTGGTAGCCACGCAGCTTTCTCCAGCCCCACCATTTCAAACCACTTAGTTTTGATGAAAGCATCAAATTTGTAGAGTTTTACTCTCTTCTTTTTCAGATTACAGCGTGTTCAATTCCCAGCAAGTGCAGGATGAAATGGATACTAAATCCCTGGATGATATGGAGCAGAGCCTCCTGATGCTGTCTGAGACGAAGGCTCAGGCGATGAGCAACACAACCCTCTGGAAGAAGCAGGTTTCCACCATAGCAAAAGTTCACTTCCTTAGTCTCAAGCGGGAAAATAAATGTGTGAGAGTGATGTAAGTATTGGGGCTTTCTCACTGGTACACAAAATTCTCCAAACTTGATTGATACTAAAGAAATGGCAGGATTTGATTAATTATTTTCCCATAGTTTATATTTCAATAATAACAAGTATTACTGTTGAATGCATGTTTTTTGGGGGGGGAGCAAGGGAGATGTTGGTTTAATAACATACAGCTAAACTGGGTTGACTTTTGCTGAATTTTAATAAAACCCAAACTTTCCATTTCTTTCAGGTTGTTGCTTTTTCTGATTTTTCTAGTAGTTCAGATTTTATTGTTTTTCATACACCACATCATCAAAAACTCTGTCACTGCTATCAGACTTTCCCCAGACTTGTACATGCTGAAGCCTGGGGAGGACTATCACAAGTACAGGAGTCGTCTCCTGCTGCAGAACTCCACAGGTAGGAGAGCAGAGATGTTCCTGTCTCCACCTCTCTCTTTAAACGTAGCATTTCACATGGTGGGGAGAGATGGTATGTGCTACTTTGGGGCTTGAAACAAACTTTTTCCTTGAAATTAACCCAAATGAAGAATTTCCAAATACCTAGAGATGGTAGGGAGTGAGTATTCTTTGTGCCATAGGGTTTGGTTCAGAGATCTTCCTCCTCCTCCTGTGTCTGGTAGTCTCGTGCTTGCTAGGTCATAAGATGACCTGTATGAAGGAACTGGCCAGGAAGACATTTAGATACATCAACATTAAAATCCTGCTACTAAACATTTTGCAAAATTCCCTTTTGTTTCAACTTAGGATGTTTTAAAAGTCTGTAGCAGTGATCTGGGCAATAGAAATGAGCCTCTACCAGGAATTTGTGCTGAATACAACTTAATTTCTCTGGATGCTGCATCAAAGTGCTGCTGGTGTCCTCTTCTCTTAGCTCATTATCTGCTCAACTGAAACCTTGAGTATCCTGATAATGCTCCTTGGCACCTCCACTTCCTCACTGCTGCATTTGACTTGCACAAATTAATTGGAGAATCTAACCAAAAACTTTTCTTGAGTGCTTTGGAGGCTGTTGAGTAGGAAGTCAAAATAAAAACATTTGTGTTGTTCAGAATAGCAGAGGACTCTTTTTATTTATTTATTTATTTTGGTGGTCGTGTGTCAGGAAATGGTGATTTTTCATCATAGGGTTCTATCAGTGGGAAAATGCATCAATAATTTTGTATAAAATACTCCAGGATGGTGATGAGTAATCGTGCTGTTTTCTCTGTCTTCCACCAGAATCGGATATTGATGACATTGTCCGCTCTCTTGGGAGCATGAACGTCCTCTTGGAGATGTTCAATGACAGTGATTACGTCTCAGCTGCCCCTCACAGCGCAGCTTTAAACGTGTTTGACCTTGAATCCAGACAGGTAAGATGGACAGACCAGCTCAGTTGTACCCTAAAGAGCAGACAAGCAGCTGGTGAGGGGCTGGTTTTGTCCTACTCTTGCCTGAAAGGAAGGTATTGAGTGATATAAAAAAATAATCATATAATATCACTTATATAAGAGGCCTGCAAAGAGGATTTGTATTAACAGAATGGAAATATTATCAAAAGAAATGTTCTTCCATAATGATAATTATGGTAGGCTAATAAAACTTCCAGCCCCCTTTCTTCCCCACAAGGATACGAAAAGCCAAGAGAAATACTTTATTTCACAAGAGACCTGGCATAGGAATTTATTTTTATTTTTTTATTTTTTACTTACACTAGCTGAATTATATGATTTGACAGAAATATAATTCCATGGTGCTCTCCTGTGTAAAGAAAAATGAGTTTCTTGGATTGTATGTATTCGCTTCAGTATGGTCACTGAAGGAGTGTCAGAAAGATTTGAACATTGGGGTCATATTTAATCTGCAGCAAAGGAACTGCTTTGCAATATGCCAGCTCTCTCTCTCCCCTTCTCATTTTTATTCATTGCAAACTGTTAATATTAGTGTGACAGTGCAGCCCTTAGCTAATGTACATTTTTGCCTATCTGGTTTTTAAATACATTAGCAAGAACATAGGGGTACAGGTTATTTTGTGTTGTTTTTCAGGCTGTAATTGTCTGGAGCAGCGTTGGTCAGAGCGTCCCAGTTGCATAAAACGTTCTGGGAATTGGTTCCAAATAATTTGTTCTCTATAAGAATGACTGTTTTCCTGAATTAAGTTACATGTTCTAACCACCCTGAGCTTCCTGCAAACAGAAGCACACTCTGTTGTGCAAAGGTTGTTCCCAATGTTCAGGTTTAATTAAGCCCAGAGGAGAGCCCTCTCAGGATATTACCCTTCAAGCAGAAGAATTAATATATAAAACACTTTCCTTTCCAGAATTATGTGTTCATGATCATATTCAACAGCACCATGGTGCATTCCCTGCCAGTGTTGATGAATATTGTCAGCAACCTCCTTCTACGCAATCTGAACGTGACGGAGAGCATTGAGATCTGGAGCAATCCCTTCCTTCAGGTGAGCTGCACTCATAGCTGGAGGGCAAAAAATCACCCTGGAACATGGGCTGGGTGACAGAACATCTCTGGGGTGAGAGGAAAAGTGTGAAAACACACCAAAAACGAAGGGAGAAGCTGTTTGGGATGGTCTGCAGCACCATCAGGAAGGATTGACCCCCAGTATCCAAACCCTGTAGAGTAAATCCTTCATGGTTCAGACCTTTGAAGAATTAAAGAGGACTTGAAAGGTGCTGAGATTTTGTTCTGCAGCTTGTGGAAGTGGAGGAAAAAAGGGGCTGGAGAAGGGGACATCCTATTGGGAATTTGTTCTGGGTTTGTTACAGGGTTCCTGTGGTCCTCAGGGGCTGAGCATGGGGATGCTGGAGGTCTGATGCCTCCTATGCAGAGCTGGGGTGGCCTCCAGGAGAGGAGAGGACCTGCTGCAGGAGATAAATGCTCTAGGAGTTTATTATATACTCGTATAAATACTCCCAAAACTTCCATAGGTATTTTTCTTCATGCTGTGCCTCAGATAATCTTGAGATACACAGAATTTATGTTTTAGTATTTATGGTCACATTCCAACTCTAAATGCATTTTTTTGGTCACGCACGTTCTGATATTGAAGAAATCTGATTTATATTTCAGAATCTTCCAGACACAATTTTCAGACTAGAGATCTATTTTGAAGCTGTCCTACTGGGAATCATTATTACTGGAATGCCACCCTATTTTGCCATGGACAATGCAGAAAACCATAAGGTAAACTCCCAGATGTGGAGTCACAGACTGCACAAGAACTTAAAAAAAACCCTTGGGATTTTGGGAAAAACTTGAGAGATGTTTGGAATAATGTCTTTTTGCTTCTTTGTCAGCTAAAATCAGCAACAACTGGGTAATTCCCTGGTGCCACATCAGTAAAAAAAATCAGTGTATGAGAGGGGAAAAGCAAGATCCTGCTCACGCACCGTGGCAGATTAACATCGTGTTAATTTGAATTAACATTGAATTAATGTTGCAGATCAAAGCTTACACGCAGCTGAAGATAGCAGGGCTTTATCCCTCTGCTTACTGGACTGGCCAAGCTGTGGTGGACCTCCCCCTGTTCTTCTCCATCCTTGTCCTGATGATAGGCAGCCTCTTTGCTTTTCACTACGGCGTTTATTTCTACGTGGGCAAGTTCCTCGCTGTGGTGAGAGTGGTGGGGATCAGAGCACACGTGGGGATGTCAGAACGTGGTTAGGTTATTTTCCACGAGTGTTTATTTTTTATTAGCAGACTTTTTTCCAACTGATATGCAGGGAAAATGCCTGATGGAGGTTGCTGGCACAGATACACCAGTCAGGCTGCTCTGAAGGCAAAATAATACTATTTCTCGTGGGGAAAAATATTAATATTTTTATTTTAATATTAATATTTTGGAGTTTAATTCAGAATTGGAAGAAAATAAAGCTTTAAATACCAAGATCTTCCAAAGAAATGCTCCAACCTTTTTTTACCCTCCTTTCTCAGTCTGCTTCACCCTCTTTGTTGTCCATTAATAATTGTTCCCTGTGCATCGGCGTGCAGCTAATAATGAAGTTACAGTGATTTTAAACACAGAGCAGCTCTGCAATGAATTGCACCATATGAGTAAATTGAAGAGATTACAAGTCTTCATATCTTTTATATTCAGAGCAGACTTCCCCGAGATATTGGCTGTAATGGAGAAAAATCAGATTTTCCTAGCTGCCTTCCCAGAATCTCTGGGTTAATCAGGTTTGGGATGTGACCGTTGCACTACAGGGTTATTTTTCTACCAGTGCATCTAACCCTTTTATTAATATCTGTGAAAATGCTAGGGCTGAAGGGTGGAATTCTTAATATTTGCCAAAATCTTCAGGTCAACATTTATGGGAGCCTGTTATAATAATAATAATAATAATAATTTTAAAAATGGAAATAGTTTAAAGGAAACTGAGTGAGTGAGGTTCCTTGCCTGTCCATATACTCTTTTATTTGTGTCTTTAACAGTATATTCTGTATATACCAAGTTAGCAAAATATATCAAATTAGGTGACTAAGATGAATCCAGACTTATGTAGCACACTAAAATAATTCCAGTTGATACTTAGCCTGTCCATATACTCTTTTATTTGTCTTTAACAGTATATTCTCTATATACAAAGTTAGCAAAATATATCAAATTAGGTGACAAAGATGAATTCAGATTTATATAGCACACTAAAATAATTCCAGTTGATACTTAGACAAAAAAATTCACCCCTAGGTTCTTGCTGTGCATTTGCTGAGAAACCTTTCCTATCTTTGCAGATTTTTTGCCTCATTGGTTATGTCCCATCAGTTGTGCTCTTCACTTACGTGGTCTCCTTCACGTTTAAAAAAGTCCAGAATACGAAAGAATTTTGGTCATTTATATTTTCAGTGGTGAGTAACTTTACCTTGAGTTCGGTTAACTGGGAAGATTAGTTATTTCCAAAGGCACAACAGGCTTCTCAGTTATTTTATTTAACTGTGTGTCCTTAACCCACAAGAAATTTGAAACATTTACCAACGTCTCTTTATCGCTGCCACATCCTAAATGATAAAAGCTTTAAAGATTGTGCCTCAAATGAGAGAACTTATGCTTAGAGAAGCTGAACTGAATGAAAACTGAGAGTTTGTTTGGTTTTTTTCCTTTTCTTTTCTATAGACAGCCTTGCTCTGTACGGTAGTCACTGAAGTGGCCTTTTTTCTGGACTATTACCTGGTGACCACCATCCTGCATTATGTCTTCTCCATCTTCATTCCTATTTATCCCCTTATTGGCTGTCTCATTTGTTTTATAAAGGTAAGGGGGCCACGAGAAATCCTCTCCCAAAGCACTTGTAGATGGCTAGGGGTGGATGGGTGTCTTTAATAATAGACAGCAGTTAGCTGCTTGGTCATCTGCAGCCGATTAACACGTGAAGAATAGCAACTGCTGGGGAAAATTCACCTTTTTTCCTGTAAGCAGAATGTTGCACTTCTTAAAATGAGGAAAGAAGCAAGTTTTCCCTTAAATATCTGAAGGAAAACCATGTGTTTCTCAGCCTGTAGACTGGGCAAACACAGAGGTGGGAGATGGGTTCATTGGGAGTCAGTGGCTTTAAACCAGGAGCAACTCCAGGGACTTTGATGGAGTTTTCTTGGTGCCAAACTCATGCGAGCAGGGTCTCTGCAGAGCTCAGCAAGTGCTGGAGCAATGTAACTTAAATGACTGGTTGGAGATGAAAGTGCAATGTAGGACGTGCAGTCTCTGGTAGGTGATTATTTACCTGAATGTGGGGTTTTTTTGGATTGCCAGGTCTCGTGGAAAGGCAAGCGGAAGAACGGAGGATACCACGACCCGTGGGACAGGCTCCTGGTAGCAGTCATAGCTGTAAGCATGATTATTGGATTATTTGCTGTAGAGAATTGCTGACTCCTGCTGGGAGGCCCCTTCTCTTCAGGCATCTTTATTAATAAGGGTTTGATCTGCTGCTGAGCATCGCTGGAGCTTGCAGCTTTGCAGCCTGTTGCAGCACAAACGGGATCAGTATAAGCTGCTGTGCCTACCAGCTCACTGCTGCTTCAATAGTCTAATTAACGGTGCTGATGTTAATAGCCATTATTATTGGAGCCTGTGCTGATGGAGGAAGAACTCCAGAACAGGGGACAGTCTCTTCTCTTTCCAAAAAAACAAATAATTATCATTAAATCAAAGCAGACTCTGGTTGTGCATCATCGGTGTTGACGCACTGAGCAGCATCTAATGATACATTTCATCTTCTCGGAAACACCAGCACTTTTGTGGTGGGGAAGAGCTGGTGCTTCTTGTCACTACTTGCACTGGTGGGATCACCTCTAGGATCAGCAGCCTCGTAGGGCTGGCAATGCTCTGAGTAGCCAGAACTGTATTTATAGGAACATCGAACATTGTGAGTGGGAAGGACCCACAGGGATCAATCAGTCCAACTCCTGTCCCTGCACAGGACAATCCCGACATTCACACCATGTCCCTGAGGGCCTTGGCCAAATGCTACTGGAATCTTGTCAGGCTTGGTGCCACGAGCACCTCCCTGGGGAGCCTGTTCCAGTGCTCCACCACCCTCTGCCACAAGAACCTTTTCCTCATGGCCAACCTCACCCTCCCCTGCCACATCTTCCTGCCATTTCCTCTGCTCCTGGCATTCGTTGGTGGCCAGAGAGAAGAGATCAGCGCCTGCCCCTCCTCTTCCCCTTGGGAGGAAGTTCTAGACCAGGATGAGATCTCCTCTCAGTCTCCTCTTCTCCAGGCTGAACAAACCAAGTGACTTCAGCCTCTCCTCACACAGCTTCTCCTCTAAACCCTTCACCAATTTCACCAGTTGTCTGTTTTTAGCCCTATGTGCAGTGCGTTGTGTGGCTCTTCCTACTGCGATGTCTCGAGCTGAAGAATGGAGGGAGGACAGTGAGAGAGGATCCATTTTTCAGGTGTGTCTCTGTTGAATAGAGTTTTGAAAAGTCATAGTCTAAAGAAACTGTTTTTAAAGGTGATGCTGGTGATGAAGCTGGAGCATGCAGTGTAGAGCTACGGGGGGTACTGCAGAAAATAAAATATCTGTGGTTATATCCCATCCCAAATGTCTAAAGAATTTGTTCTCCTGACTTCAGTTCTCTGAAATTCAGTCAGCAAAGTTTGTAAAAAGGGTTTTTACTTCCTTTTAAGTTATGTCAGTGCAAAATCAAGAATTTTGTAAGGTTGTCCCCCATAGAAAAATGGATGAACTTCCTTTTCCGTTGCATGGCTAGAGATGCCACAACCCAACAAGGAGTTCAGCATAAAGATGAGTTAGCTGCAATCATTGCCAGGTGTTTCTGCTCTTTTGGGGCTTCTCAGATGTGCTGCATAAATGTGTTTGTTACTCGTGGGTTTAGCAGATACCAATTGCTTTCTGAATCACACCAGTGAGTGAATCTCACTTGGATGCCAAGCAGAAGCATCATGTTGTTTTCATCCCCTTAGAAAATGTTTCACAAAAGCCAAAACCTGGAAGTTCCCAGATGTCCCACGTGATGAGAACGAAGATGATGATGTGAAGGCGGAGAGGCTGCGTGTCCGTGAAATACTGAGCAGCCCCAAAAGTGAGGAGGTAACATCATGGGCACTACTCAAAACCTCAACCCAGGTATTGCCCAGGGTTGCAGGGATCTGCAGCCACTTCTCTCTTCTCTACTAGATGCCAGCAATCCTGGTCAGCAGCTTGCACAAAGAGTTTGATGAAAGAAAAGAATTTCTTCTGGGGAGAAAAATCAAGAAAGTGGCAACAAAACATGTTTCTCTCTGCGTAAAAAAAGGTTGGAGTTCAATGTCATGCTGTTGAGCTGGTTTATTCACCAAAACAACTCTCAAATCCATTTATCTGACCTCATGGGCAATGTTTTGTGTTGTCCTTTCTTTAGGAGAAATACTGGGTTTGTTAGGACCCAATGGAGCTGGGAAAAGCACGTTAATTAATATGCTTGTTGGAGAGGTTGAGCCAACCAGTGGGCAGGTACGTTCCATGCTACAAACTAAATGGAAAATGAACCTATGTTGAATTTTTTAATTATTATTGCAAGCATTCCCAGGTGGTTTTTGCTAAAACTTTACAAAACCAGTTCTGAAACTTAGAATATTATTGATTAAAGTCTACACATCTTCCTCACAGGTTCTGATGGGAGATTATGCTTTTGGCTTGAGCAGTGAAGATGACTCAGTGAAATTTGTGGGGTACTGTCCTCAAACGAACCCGCTTTGGCCAGATATTACATTGCAGGAACACTTTGAAATTTATGGTGCTATCAAAGGAATGAGTCAGTCTGATGTTAAGGAAGTCATAAAGCGGTGAGTAGTTTATTATAGAAGTGTAAGGTTTAGCTTATATATATATATATAACTTTTATTTTTTACATTT